TGTCTCAAATAAATAAATTTTAAAAATCTTAAAAAAAAAATTAAAAAAAAAAAGAAAAGGTGATGCAGCTTCCACTGGCTCTGTCTGGGGACATTCGCCCTTGGAACCCAGCCACCACGCCGCGACGAAGCCTAGGCCACGTAGGAGTTCCACTCAAGGGCCTCAGCACAGGCCCCCAGACTTGCGCAGGTGGGTGAGGAAGCCTTGAAGATGGCTCCACCAGGCTCCATCGGCATCCAGGAGGCACTGAGGGAGAACTGCCTGAGCACACGATTCCCAGCCATGCAAGATGGTGATAATAATATAAATGGACATTGTTGTTTTATGCCACTAAGCCCGAGATGGTGCACTAGGGTTGGAACAGAAACAGAAATAGTGGGGCAAAGGTGCATTTCCAGGAGTTGCAGGGCAGGACCCAAATGCCCAGCGCAATTTATGAATTCCCACTGTTCTGGGGGCGCCTGGGTGGTTAAGCAACGACTCTCGGTTTTGGTTCAGGTCATGATCTCGGGGTCCTGGGATTGAGCCCCACACTGGGCCCTGTGCTCAGCGCAAGGGTCTGCTTGAGGACTGGAAAGGGTATATGATGTGTTTCATGCCTTCGGTAAGTTCTGGTGGCATAATCCTCAGTCCCACTCCCTGTGCTCTGTCTCTCTCTAAAAATGGATAAGGAAATCGTTAAAAAAAAAAAAAAAGAATTCCCACTGTTTCAAACATGAGAAAACTGGCACAGGACCCACCGCAGCCAACGCCCGGGAACTGTACTAACTCTTCAGGGAGCAGGCCCGAGGAGCTGAAGAAATCCGCTCAGGCCCATCCTCGGGCTTAACTACACTGCGGGCGGAGCAGTCTCCGGAGCGCCAAGGTGACCTTCCATGTTGACCCCATACGGCCACATCTGTGGTCAGGCAAGGAGCGATGCCCCCCCTGTGAAGGATCAGTGGGGCCTGTCCCTCTGAGCTCCGGGGGGTGGCGGGGCCGGTGGGGCTGGCGGGGCTGGCAGAGCCCCGCACATACACAGAGCCGCTGGGCTGGGGAGAGGCAAGCCTACACAAGGCCGAAACAGGCATCCAGACTTCCCGCCACCTCCCTCCTGGGGTGTCAAATCTAAAGCTCGTCTGTCAACTCCCTGGAAAGCAAAGAGCTAAATAATTTACTAACACTTCCTTTTTTTATAAAACTTTAACTTTCTAAAAAAACCCAAAAACCAAAAAACAACCACACACACACACACACCCCCATGGATAAACAACGGCAGGAAGTTTTGAGATCAGCTCTAACACTACCCTGCGGCGGGAGGGGCAGATGTGCGATTCCACATGGTAAAACTCCACCTGCTGGGGACTTAGGATTAGGCCACCAGAACCTACCGCAGGCCTGAACACTTCACACAGCCTTTCCAACATTTCAGCGGTTTCCTAACGTAGCATCAAGGCCGAAACTCCGGCAAAGAACCACAATTGTGGCCACTGACTTTGTTCTGTTGTTGTTGTTGTTCTTTTTTTTTTTTTTTTAAACAAACCCTTGTGTCGAGGGCTGACTGGCCACTGACTTCATATTAACTAAAGTTTTTCTCACCTTACCGAAAAATGAACAGTTCTGGTTAAAAAAAAAAAAGGCTAATAATGGAAAACCATCATTTTATGCTGGAATGTTGGAATTCCTACTTTGAATGCAAAAAATGGAAATGCTTCTAAGATGGGTGCTCCATATTGCTACAGAAACAAGAGCCCCCTAGACTAGTTCAAGATAAAAGTGACAGATACTAAAAGGATTCTTCCTCCCACCTCCTCCTCCCCCCCGTGCTGCACTGTGTCTTCTGGCTGTGCCCTTTGGGACAGGGCCTGGACTCCCTTCATCTCTCCACATCTGGGATACCTGATGTGCCAGCCCTACTGCACAGGGGGCCTCAAGGAACCACAGATAAACTTGATTGCAAAGCACTTCATAAATATTTAGACTCTGTTTTATTTAAAAAAAATATTTAGACTTTTAAAGCCCTTGTTCACCAAGGGCACGAATTTTCTCCATCTCTGCTCCTATCTCACTACTCAAAAGTGAGTCAAACTTTTGAGTTGGCAAAACTGTTCTTTAAAAAATGTTAATCTAGGGGCGCCTGGGTGGTTCAGTCGGTTAAATGATTGACTCTTGGTTTCAGCCCAGGTCGTGATCTTAGTGTCATGAGATCGAGCCCCAAATTAGGCTCGGTGCTTAGCTTGGAATCTGCTTGGGACTCTCTCTCCCTCTCCTTCTGTCCCTCCCCTCTGCTCGCTTGCGCTCTCTCTCTCCCCCTCCTCTAAAATAAATAAATAAATCTTGAAAAAAATAAAAATTAAAAAATGTTAATCTAGATGATTTACCTTTATGACTTTGTCCGTTCTCCTTCTGGGATGAGAAAGAAGTTGAGGAAAACAGGCACTGAGGATAAAGTCCTCAGGGTCTCTCACATTGTGCAGCCAATCTGAGAAAGCCTTAGCAAGATACAAGAGGGAATTCTCAGGACGGTAAAGTCTGCTTCTTCATGTAGCTATAAGGAGCTGAGACAGTTACTGACTTCTCAGTACTTGGATGGCTCACTCTCAAGTGAACCCTCTTCTCTGCAGCTCAATTCCTGCTGCATGCGTGTAAGTCTTATGCTGTTTCAACAGCCCCCCAAGCGGCCTCCTTGTCCCCTTCCAAAGACCTTCCCCACTGCTACCGAACATTCTCCTAAAAATGCAAACTGAACTCATACCCTTCAACTCTGTCACTTCAATTTTAAAGCTCTACCCTAAGGAGACTGAGATGGGGATGACAACAGCAAAGCACAGTAGATAAGATCACAGACTCTGGAGCCAGACTGCCTGCGTTTAAATCTCAGCTCCCACACATCAGGCCACATGACTGAAGGCAAAGCACTTAACTTGTTTGGTTTGGGTTTTCTTAAAATTTTTTTGGTAACAGCTTTACTGAGATATAATTCACATATAACTCACTCATTTTAAGTATATATTTCATTGGTTTTCAGTATGTTCATAGAGTTGTGCAACCATCACTACAATCAATTCTAGAACATTCTTATCACTCCCCAAAAGACCTCTGTACCCATTAGGAGTCATCCCCATTTTCCCTACCCTCCCTGGCCCTAGGCAACCACGAACCTACTATCTCTATTGATTTGCTTCTTCTGGACCTTTCATACAAACAGAATCATATAAAAGGCAGCCTGTCATGTCTGGCTTCTTTCACTCAGCACGATGTTTTCAAAGTTCATCCACACTGTAGCATGTGTCAGGACTTCATTCCTTTACATGCCTGAGTAATATTCCATTATATGGGTATGCTGCATCTTATCTATCCATTAATCCCTTGATGGACATTTGAGTTGTTTTCACTTTTCGGCTGTATTGACTAACATTGCTGTGAACATTCATGTACAAGTTGTCATGTGGACATATGTTTTCAGTTCCCTTGGGTATATAGCTAGGAGAGGAACTGCTGGGTCACATGGTAACTCTATGTTTAAACTTTTGAGGAAACAACCTATTTTTGAAGAGTATTTAATGATATGGGGAAATGCTCTCTTCATTTGGTAAAAATATTTAAAAATACACACATGTACAGATATCTATGTTTATTTAAACATTACATACTTTTGGGTGTATGTATGTATACAAATGCATTTCTATGCTTTCCAAATTCTCTATGAGGAATATGATCAATTTTATAATCAGGAATAAAAAGGAGTGATTTTTTTTTTTACTGTAAATATGAGCATGGTATTCTCCTACTTAAAATGCTCCAAAGGCTCCTCTTGACTTACAAGACCTCACACAAACCTTTGTGCCCTGGCCCTGCCTAGTCTCTGACTTTCTCTTCTGTTCCAGCAATACTGAATTCCCAAATATACAGTCCTTTCACATGAGCTGTTCCCTCTACCTGGAATTCTCTTCATGGGCCTTGCCACACTCTGCCATGAATGCTTTACTCACCTGGCAAATACGACAGCAACACTAACAGTTATCCCCATCTAGGAGGCAGCCTGAGCCAGCGGGCTGCCCCAGCACCACAGGTGGTGTCCATCTGCTTCAAAAGGATACGTATAACGTTAAAAGCTTTGGCGTGTTGCTGGCTTTAAAAATTAAAGCCAGAAACTTTTCCAACTTCAACTTTAATTCTGGAGTCCAAGAATCCTGAAATAAAAAAAGAAAGATAATAAAAGCCCTAGATCATTAAAAGCCAACAGCATTGTCAAATGGTGGCCTTTGGCTTAAATAACCCCATCCAACACAGTCACTGAAATCAAAAGCAAGATGCCTTGCCTGTGGTGTGATGCCGCGAAAAATAGGTTTTTGGACATCTGACCAATTCGTTTATAAAAGATCAGATACCCACAGCAGGAGGAAAGAACGGAGTTCTGTCATAAACAAGGAAAAAAGAACCCTGTACATGATTTGAATATTTCATGTGATTTAAACACAAGCATGACAAATAAGCGTATTAGTTTGAATGGCAACCAGAATTCAGAATCGTTGAAGCATACACGGTGCTGGCGGGCATACACGGCTAGCACTCAGTTCCTGCGAGTTTCCCAAAGAGAAGGGCTCATTTCCATAAACCTCATCTAGATAAGAAAAAAAAAAAAAAAGACAGAAGCTGTTATCTGCCTCAAATAATCCGTCATGTCAAGCATTACGATATACTTTTAGTTTGATTTGTCCCTTGATAATAAATTACTTAATTCAAATAATGCTCATTAGAAGGAAAAAATAATGACTTAAGGAATAAAAGAAAAAGTGTGACAAGCAATTATCTTTCTCAGGCAATTTTCCTTACAGTCTTTATATAAAAAAATCTATCACCCAAACCAAGAAGTGCCACAGAAAGGAAGCAAGATCTCTAAAAATTCCTATCAACTTACCTCTTAGGCCCTGCCCCACCCCCGCAGACCCCCGTCCTTCCGTGCTTCCCCTCCCCAGCTCTGTGTCCTTATCCATGCCCCCACCCCACCCGTTCTACCCAGGGCATCATCTGGCTTTTTGAAAAAATACTATCTTATATTTTTAGAAGACTGTGTAATTCCCTGACATGGCATGATAGCTTTAGTTATAATGTGTGTGTTATGGGTTGAATTGTGTCCCCTAAAAAGATATGCAGAAGTCCTAGCCTCCTCAGAATGTGAGGTCATTGGAGTGGGGTTGTTGTAGATGTAATTAGTTAAGATGAGGTCATATTGGAGTAGGGTGGGCCCTTGATGCAACATGACTGGTGTCCTTCTAAGAAGGAAAATTTAGACACAGACCCAGAGAGAAGATGGGCCTGTAAAGACGGGGGATTGGAGTTATGCTGCCACTAGCCAAGGGACATCTGAGGCTACCAGAAGCAGAAAGAGGCAAGGAAGGATCCTCCCCTAGAGGCTTCGCAGGGAGCATGGCCCTGCCAACACCTTGATTTCAGACCTCTGGCCTCATGAACTATGAGACCGAAAGTTTCTGTTGTTTAAGGTACCCGGTCTGTGGCCCTTTGTTACAGCAGCTCTGGGAGACTAATACAGCGCGCTACTGCTCAAGGCTTCTGCGCTCAACCATACCATAAAGAATTGCAAGGAAGGACTACCATGTTGGCCAACATTAATGAAGACATCTTAAAAAACAAACAAAACAAAATATTTGGGACATGGAGACTTCCAGTTAAATTGCTCTGTTGCTGATTACTATTTTGTATCACCACCAAGTATATATTTTCAGTTTAACTGTTTACCTTCTGATGCTCTGCTAATGACAAGGCTAAGATTGGGATAAAACCTCTCTGGGCAATGAATCCCTTATTTTTTTCTTGACTGCTCTGATTTTTCTGTGCTTTCAGCTTTGAGAACAAGAACATTTCCAAGTCTGCTAGGCACCTGACTGCCCAGCTCCCACAGGAATGGGGGAAGCACTGGGCTGGTTCTCTGTACTCCCTGAACGAAGTCACTCCTCCTCTTTACATCACAGTCTCTTCACTTATAGAATGTAGACTTTACACTAGATGAGTGATCATCTGACTTTTTTTTTTTTTCCAACAGCAAAACCCTTCTGATCATTCAAAGTCTTGCCCAGAACCCTAATGTATGAAATGAATAAAAGCAGGGTATTCTTGTGGAGGGGAGGGGAGAACTCCATGCTTGACTCTCTTGGCCTACCCACTGCCTCCTCCCTCCCTCGCAGAGCCCACAAGAATTCCTTCCATTTCTTTCCATTTTCACTAATTAAGCTTGACTTGGTCCCTGGCACCCAAGTGCCCAAAACTTTTTCTGGAAGTAATCAACTAGAGGAATACCTAAATATTTCTGCAAGGAGATGCTCACTGACAAACAATTTGCTGAAAAGAGCTCATTACAATCTCTACAAAATAATTTTCTTTCCTGACACCTCAGCAGAAAAGATAACCTGAAAAAGCAATGAAAACAACTAAAAAAGCTGCATAAGTTAACCATATTTTAAAATCCATCCCCAAGTGGCAAGAAAGGAAAAGCAGAGGCTAAAAGTGACAGTTTTCGCTCTAAGGATAACTCAGAGTCTAGAAGACCTTACACCTCAGTTCTAAGAGTGGTCATGGTACAGAAGACGAAGACAATAGGATCCACTCATAGTAAACAATCTAATAGGAGACCCTAGCATAAAACTGGGATCCCAGGGCACCTGGGTGGCTCAGTTGGTTAGGCGTCTACCTTCAGCTCAGGTCATGATCCCAGGGTCCTAGGATCGAGTCTTGCATCAGGCTCCCTGCTTAGTGGGGAGCCTGCTTCTCCCTCTGTCCCTCCCCCCTTTCGTGCACTCTCTCTCTCTCTCAAAAATAAATAAAAACTTTAGAAAAAAACCCTGGGATCCCAAAGGACTATACCATCAGGAAAAAGTCAAGGACAAACCAATCCACTGTCTAGAAGGTGACAGCAAGGAAATCTACCCGTCTGACCTTGACATTAGGTAGAAGGGAGGAAAAACCTCATTTGAAACTTCATAACCCAAACTAGTCTCATTAAAGATTGCAGCCTAAACTGAAACTATCTATGTGGTTCCCAAAGCCTTGAGCAATGAAATTTAATTTAAAATGATCCTGGGTTGGTAATGCCCTAGATGACTGAGAGATGCAAATGCAGATCTCTGAAAGAACCAAACTCCACTCAGGCCTCAAAAAACTCCCACAAGTCCCAAGTAGAGTAAACTCATTGTCAAAACTCAAAATAACTAATTTTTTTTTTTCAAAAAAAGATATAAGGCGCCGTGAATGAACCAGCAGAAATTAAACACAGCAGGATCAAATCTATAAAGGCTCCTGATGTTAAAATTAACAAAGAATATAACACAAATTATAAATATGGTAAAGAAATAAAAAGAAAGGGTTGAAAATATGAGCAAAGAACAAGAGACTATAAAAAATGACCCAGTAAATTTGAATTAAAAAACAAAAAGAACTTCTATTAACAGAAGTTAGTAAGTGAAATTACAAATTCAATTAAGAATTAAAGAACAGATTAGACTGAAGACAGGTGTGAATAAATCACCCAGAATACAGTCCTGACAGAGATCACGAGATGGAAATTACAAGATGTTAAGAGACATGGAGGGCTCAACACTGTGAACATCCTTGACTCTACTGAACTGTACACTTCACAATGGTTGAGATGGTAAATTTTATTTTATGTGTATTTTGTCACAAATTTTTTAAATGAAAAAAAAAAGACAGGATAGTAGAAGCAAGTCTAATGCAGATTTAATCAGATACATAGATTAAATGTAGATTTAATCAGACATCCACAAAAAGATAATAAAGAGGAGAGGCAATATATGATGAGAAAACAGAATTTTCCAGGGTCGTTCAAAGACACAAAACGTCACATCCAGGAAACCCAACAAATCCCAAGTAAAAATAGAAATCTACCCCTAGACATGCCATAGTAAAATTACACAACCTCAAAGGTCAGAGAAATAAGACAGATCACCTACACGGGAAGAGCAATTAGACTGTTGGCCGACCTCCAATAGCAACAACGGGAGAGGGGTGATAACACCTTGTTATCAAGGGTGCGCCCGGGTGGATCAGTGGGTTGAGCCCGACTCTTGGTTTCGGCTCAGGTCATGATCTCGGGGTTGTGAGATCCAGCCCACATTGGGCTCTGAGTTCAGCATGGAGTTTGAGATTCTCTCTCTTTCCATCTCCCATTGCCCCTCCCTGCCCCACACGCATGCGCTCTCTCTCTCTCTCAAAATAAATAAATCTTAAAAAAAAAAAAGAAAGAAAGAAAATAGCTGTAAGCCTACCATTCTGGACCCTGACTAAAAAAGCAACAGAGACATTTCAGACAAGCGAGAACGGAAAGAAGAGACTGTCACCTAAAGGAGACTCTAAAGGGATGTATGTGAGACAGAGAAGATGATTACAGATGGAAGGTCCTTAACGTAAGACGGAACAGCAAGCACATCTATGGGTGAACAGAAGGGTAAATCCATACACACATAGACTGCATCAAATAATAAGATTCCGTAATGTGTGGGGTTAAAGTATGTAACTGAAATACTTGACAATAACAGTAAGTGAGCTGGGAAGGGGATGAAGGAGGTGAATGCATTCTAAGGTCCTTGTAATGGTCAGGAAGACGAGGAAGATATGAGCTTTAGATTCTGTTATGCATACATACTCAGGTATCTATGACGGCCACTGAAGGAACATATGTAGAGTAGCAAAAGGAAAAAAAAAAAAAAGGAAACACGTGACTCCGCATGAATACTGAACCCTGCAGACTCGGGACGCCGAGCCAGAGCAGGCCAGCCGCCTGCCGAAGCCCGGGCTGGACCTCAGCCGCGGCCGCAGTGCTGCGCCATCATCTTCATAAACAGAAGTCTTCGCAGTGAGAAAATCCACTCTTTCAAGTTTCACCGCCTTCCTTAACCATTATGTGTTTTCAACCTTCTCGGAGAGGAAGGGGGCAAAACTAAATTTGGATGGACAAAGAAAACCAAGCACAGAATTCAACGTAGGCTACTCTATGACAAGCCTGCTTTCATGAAGTCATTCAACTCTGGCCTTCAGTTTAGGGGCTACTGTTCGGGAATGCTGACAGGTGTCTGACTAAAGCATAACGGAACAGGAGACGGAGACATACTGGGTCTGGAGAGAGAAGTGCATCTGTTGTCCAGTGGCGCATGAGCTCTCTCCAAAGAGATGCACAGTGTGAGATCTTTTGCATCAGCCTCTTAAACACGTTTTCATAAACCTCTCAGGGGACATCTTAATTTTATTAAGTCAACAAGAATTACTACAATGGATAAACACTGATAATAAATAGTATGCTGAAATGTCAACTACAGTGAAATAAAACAATTAAAAGAGCTCCAGGAAAGTAGTCTGAAAGAAGTAATAGTACACAACCAGGTCCTCAGACATGCACCAAGTAAGTGAGACTCTGAATAGAAATTAAAACACATATAGCGGGGCACCTGGGTGGCTCAGTTGGTTGAGCAACTGCCTTCGGCTCAGGTCATGATCCTGGAGTCCCAGGATCGAGTCCTGCATCGGGCTCCCTGCTGAGCGGGGAGTCCGCTTCTCCCTCTGGCCCTCCCCCCTCTCATGTTCTCTCTCTATCTCATTCTCTCTCAAATAAATAAAATCTTTAAAAAAATAAATAAATAAAACACATATGGCCAGCAATTACATAAAATAACCTAGTTCTTTTCAGGCCACCAATTTTCGATGTAATTGAATAAAAATTATCCTTTCGATATTGAAAAAGTATGCATGGAATGCTTTAAGAAGTACACTTAAAAATAGTTATGTTAGTCCTAGTTAACAAGTCCTTTTTTTTTTTTTAATATTTTATTTATTTATTTGACAGAGAGAGACACAGCTAGAGGGGGAACACAAGCAGGGGGAGTGGGAGAGGGAAAAGCAGGCTTCCTGCGGAGCAGGGAGCCCCATGCGGGGCTCGATCCCAGGACCCTGGGATCATGACCTGAGCCGAAGGCAGACGCTTAACGACTAAGCCATCCAGGCGCCCCTAACAAGTCTTAATACAACCGAAAAATGAAATTTTATGGCACAAGAAAAGTTTGTCAAAGAAAATTATCTGAGAACAGAAGCGAATTTTCAGGTTTTTTACGGCATCATTCAGAAACCACTAGCGTCGACAAGGTGAAACCGCAATGCCGCCCCGGATCCGACTGGTCACTCACCTGGAAGAGCTCTTTAAACGAGGGGTGGACCATGGGGTTGGGAACAAAAGGCAGAGCATAGAAAGGGAGAAACTCCGTGGTCTGGCTCAGCGCTGCCCCTTTGGTCTCCAGGTAGGTTTTGAAATAAGAAATCCTCTCATCCAGGTCCTCTTTGTCCTGCAAAGAAGGAAAGATGTTCGCTTGGGGTCTCCTGCTGGACGCCCGGTCCCCCCCGTCCATCCCACTCTTTCTCCGCGGCTCCTCTAGTTCCAGCCACGGTGCTGGCATCCTCCCCCACCCCCCACCCCCTGCCTAGCAAGCACAAGGTCTCTGGTCATTCAAACACCACCCCTCATGTCCCCCTTGACGGAACTTTGTCAGGAATTTCAGAGAACTAGATATATAGTTCGATCTGCTGCCCTTTTACTTTATAATTATCATGTTCTCATATCCTTAAAATTCTTCATAAACATCATTTATACCGGCAGGACAAAACCTCACCTCATGGGTCTATCACAATTTACTTAACCAATTCCCCTATTATTAGACGTGTGCATTGTTTCCACTTGTCACAGATCATAAACATGCGTCTCCAGGATTCCCTCAGGAGAGGTGCAGAAGCTGCCATCGCATCCCTCCTTTCCTCTGCAAAGCTAACTAAGGACTGATCTTGCGGGCCACACTGGCTCCACGCGTGATCCGAGGCAACCCTGTCCCTCTCAGGATTTGATTTCCTCCTGCGCCTCAGCGAGGTCGGGGCACTTGAGCTGCTCAGCCCGGAATCGAGTGCTCTCCTTCCCTGACCACCTGGCTGCACCAGAGCCGTGCACCCTGTGTATGTGTGCTCTTCTAAGTGACACATCTCACTCCGTCTACACCGGGAAGCCCTCTTCTGGCCACTGGGCTTAAAAAAATGTATGGTGTGTATTGATTTTTTTAATCTTACGTCAAAATAAAAAAGTTAGAAAACAGAAATAAATATAAGGAAAATGAAAATCTCCCATGGTCTCACCCCCCATGCACACTGTCTTGAGGAACAGGAATGGCTACCGTGACTTACTGTAAAGCTGCTCCCTCCACCACTGACCCCTTCCCTGGCCCCCCTGACATTTTAGTAAGTGAACACAGGTGCTTGGGGGCAGTAGCTAATGCAAGGAGAAGCCACTAAAGAAAGGCATGTAGTCAAATGTCAACATGGCCCTGCTCCCTTCTGTCATTTGCTCTGTACTGGGAGGCTTGGCGGCCCCAGTAGCGGGCGCTCTCAGCCGTGCCCTCAGCACCACTGCCGAAGGACTGCAGAGGCTACACTCATCTGACCGCTCAGACAGACCTTCACAAACAGGCGTCTTTCCACGGCTTAAGCTCAAACTTCTCTTCTATTAGACAGTCTAATATGTGGTCTCAATAGGTGTCCTCTTAGACATACGTGTATTCATGTTAAGTTGCCAAATAAGGAATTTTGCTGAGTTTTCAGAAATTTGAGGCATTGAAGAAAACCATGTAGCTTTCCATACAGAAATTATTAACTCTCTGTATAAACTAGAAAATAAACTACTGGGAATGAGACAGAAAATCATGCACAGGACATGGGACGCATACTCCTTGGAAGCAATATGATAAAATGGCCACAAAACTAAATTAATGCTCATTTACAAAACAAAAAGCTAACATTTCCCCTTGAACACACCACTCAGACCCACCCAAATCACAAAGGGAACCTACAGGTCTCCCTAAGGAGTGTTTCAGAAGATAGATGGCAAAATGGATGTGAAGATAGAATTCCAACTTCTGGGCAAGGGAGTCACGATCTCGGATGGAACTGGGAACGTGCTCCTCCCACAAATCGAAGAACACCTTCTGGTCGCCATTGTCAAATGCAGCAACGAGGTCCTTCTGTGGAGAAGACATCAGACTGAACCCCAGTCATAAGGGAGGCCCATTCTCCCAACACCCCAACTTCTTACAAGATACCCAAATCCCTGCATACCCCATACACTTTGTGGTTCCAGTGTGAGAACTCAGTCTCCTTCCAGAGATAAGGGACAGAAAACCAGAGAGCTAGAAGGCTTCAAGCATCTTAGGCTGGGATTCCCACAAACCAACCCTGGTTGCAAGGTCAAGTCTCAGCTTTACAAGGAACAGATGAAACATTTAAGTCTCTGACATGGAAGGAACCAGGCACAGGCCCAGGACTTGAGGCCAGAAAACTCACAGGCACATAAATACACTGAAGTCATCCTGTAGACTTGCTGACCCAGAGCATGTGATCGATAAAAAGCAGGTCAGATCCAAACCCCAGCCAGACCTCAGTGGAACTCACCCTGCACACGGAAGCTTACCGACAGCCCAGCTAAGTCCTGGAGTGGCAGCTCCTACACACCGCCCCAGTCAATCCCAGGCCTGGGCGGTGGGTGCTGTCATTTGTTCCCTGTTGCTAAAGCATGTCCCATAGAGATGGCACTCGGGAAGTGATGACAGATTCCCAACACACCATGCAGTGACTGTCTATGTCCACCAATTACAGAAACAGGGATGCACAGGCTGGAGATGGAGGAAGGAGCACAGGCCTGGCACTCTTCCCACCTCGGGGCTGCGTGAGTCTGACCACGCAGGGCAGGCAGTTTCCTAAACTACCGTGCAAAAGCAGAAATAGAGAATTCTGGGGAAAGGAGGTGGCGATTATCATGCCACCAGCCTCGCAAGAATGATGACTGACCCATTGCAAATACCTGCTGCGTAATTTTACAGATTTAGGTATAAGGCAGAATGGACAGAACTTCCTAACGGTCCCAAACCATGTGATTCATATTGTTTTCCTTCCTGTATCAAATGCCCAAGATACTCAGACCTACATTTTGTGCTCATCTGCAAAAGCTTTTCTTGGATTGGATTTTCTATAGAACCTCCCGTTCCCCCTACCCAACACCATTATTCATCACCATTAATTGATCATTGTTTTTTATACTTTTTAAAAATGGCTTTATAGTTTTCCTCTTTTTTTTAGGTTGTTTAGAAATAAGCTTGTTAATATTATAAAATGGGAATGTACTGCACAATGTTGCACTGTCCGGTTATACTTAAAGACATTCATGAATAAAGAATCCATGAGGGACGCCTGGGTGGCTCAGTCGGTTAAGTGTCTGCCTTCAGCTCAGGTCATGGTCTCAGGGTCCTGGGATCAAGCCCCGCATTGGGCTCCCTCCTCAGTAGGGAGTCTTCTTCTCCTCCCCCCTCTGCCTCTCCCCTGGTTTGTGTTCTCTCTCTCACTCGCTCACTCCCTCTCAAATAAATAAAATCTTAAAAAAAAAAAAAAAAAGGATCTTCGGGGTGCCTGGATGGCAACCAACTCTTGGTTTCAGCTTGGGTCATGATCTTGGAGTCTTGAGGATGAGCCCCGCACAGGCTCCATGCTCAGTGTGGAGTCTGCCTGGAGCTTCTCTCTCCCTCTCCCTCTGCCCTTCCCAGCTGCACTCTCTCTTACTCTCTCTAATAAATAAATAAATCTTAAAAAAAAAAAATCTTCAACTGTGCTTATTACAGAAATGTTCTCTACTTCCCAAGAAATGTACATTAAGGAGGGCACTTGATGGAATGAGCACTGGGTGTTATATGCAACTGATGAATCACTAAACTCTACCTACTTCTCTAAGAACAACTGACTGTTACCTTACTCTGGAAGGTCTTGGCCCCTCAGCCTTGGAAACAGCGAAGGACAGCCTGTCAGCAGCCATGGGAAGGGAGGTGCCCAAAGTGCGAACAGTCAGGCACCGCCGCGTCCGGAAGAACGGGAGGAAGCCCATTACTGACTGACACAGGGTGCAGGGGACCTTCCTAAGTGGCAGTACTGCTGGAGTCTGACGCCCCTCCAGGCTCACTGCGGCTGAGCTCGAAGCTGACCCCGCCATCCCCGCGAGCCACTCGGGGGGAGGCATGCTCTCAAGAGGGGGCTGGAGACCAAGAGTTCTTTGTGTGAGTGAGTTGCGTGCAGACTCTTGTGAGTATTTTAAGGCTTCGAGTCAAGGTATTTTCTTACGTGGCTTGGCAGAGTCCACATGTTCAAATGGGCCATGTACAGTTTGTTCTAAATTCTTCATTTGTAGACCTGGGACCACAAACTTTCCTGTATCATTATAATCACATCTAAAATCCATCCTAACTTATGATTCATATTCTGTACCTGGAAATAGTCCCTGTATTTAATATCGACATACAAAGCAATCCAGTGTTATAACTCAATACAGTCACAAAGATTAATGATCTTCTCTAATATAAACCATGATCCCAGCCAGAATCACCAAGCTCAGAATATTTATACACCATCAACAATAACTTATAAACACATACACACACACACGTCTTACAGAACTGTGCTTTGGGAAATTCTCCATTTGTTGAGTGCCACTGGCACTTAAGATATTTTGCTAAGCTGCTGTTCCAGGTATTTTTGTTTGGAATAGCTATCACAGTGGGCACAGCTGTTTATTGGACGAGCAGAAAAAATATGCCTGTGGCAATCAGAAAGTTTCAAGGTCTTTCAAGTTATAGAAAAATGGACCTGAATACAACTGAGAAATGTGAACCCAAACCACAAGATATCACTTCACATCCATTAGGGACTACTATCAAAACAAAACAAAACCAAAAACAAGTATTGGCAAGGCTGTGGAGAGCTTATAACCCCTGCACACTGTTGATGGGAATGTAAAATGTAATCACCATGGAAAAGAGTATAAAGGTTCCTCAAAAAATTAAAACTAGAACTACCATATGATCCAGTAATCCACTTCTGGGTATATATCCTAAATAACTGAAAGCAGGATCTCAAAGAGATATTCGTACACCTATGTTCACAGCAGCACTATTCACAATAGCCAAGAGGTGGAAAAAACTCAAGTGTCCACTGATGGACAAATGGATAAACAAAATGTGGTACAGACGTATAATGGAATCTCCTTCAGCTTTAAAAAGGAAGGAAATTCTGTCACATGTCACAACATGGACAAACCTTGCTCCCTGTCCCCTCCAGCCTCCCTGAGCTAGAATGCAAGCACCTGGAGGGGTGAGCTTTGGTTTGGTTCACTGTGTCCCCAGTGCCTAAAATACATAACCTAAAACTGCTCAGGATGGGGATCACATTTGTTTCAGTTCCTAAGCATTGCATGGTTTCCTCTTTTTCTTCTTCCCAAGAAATGTACATTAAGGAGGGCACTTGATGGAATGAGCACTGGGTGTTATATGCAACTGATGAATCACTAAACTCTACCTCTGAAACTAATAATATATCATATGTTAACTAAACTGAATTTAAATAAAAAATTAAATAAATAAATTTATAAAATAAACAGAAATGTACTTATGTGGAAGATATTATGTCACAACCCATTTCCTAGGGAAGGTACACAGATTTAAAGATGACATTACTGGGACGCCTGGGTGACTCAGTCAGTTGAGCACCTGACTCTTGATTTTGGCTCAGGTCATGGTCTCAGGGTCATGAGATAGAGCCCCGTTGTGGCGGGCTCCGTGGTCAGCGGGGAGTCTGCTTCTCTCCCTCTTCTTCTCGCTCTGCCCCTCCCCCTACTTGTACGCTCTCCCTCTCTCTAAAGTATATAAATAAATCTTAAAAAAAAGAAAAAAAAGATGATATTACTAATTCATACAAAAACACCTGAGCATCTACAAGTCACACTGCGGGTGCCTGGGGGCAGCTGGCTGGCTCAGTCAGTGGAGCATGTGACTCTTGATCTCAGAGTTGTGAGTTCCAGCCCCATGATGGGCATAGAGTTTACTTAAAAAATCAATCAATTAATTAATAAAATAAAATAAAAGTCACTCTGACCAGGTTCCCAGAAACAATTCCAATATTCTCTAATAACTGCATTTTTTACAAGTTGGGAGCATTTTGATTATTAACAGGTATCAAAAAAAAAAGCAAAATGTTACCTGGATGATCAATGATCTGGAGTCCCTTAAAGAGCCACCTGCTGTTTTAGATAATGGCTTTCCTTTTATTTTGCATTCTTTTGAAAATGTTTTCAAGGTGTCTTCAAATTCAGCAAAATCTAAATACTATAAAAAAGAACATGAATGTATATACAATTCTCTATTTTAACATCAACAAAGCAACTGTCTTTGATGTAATTGTACCAGCTCTAAGTTACCACCTATTTATAATGGGGTTAACGAACTGTCATCTTTGGGAGAATTCAGGATCCAGCTTAGAATTTACTTACTTGACACATGTACCCAAAGCCTAGAAAGACAGTATCATAGAAAATGCTTATTTACAGAAAATAAATTTGCTTTCAGAAAGAAAATGTGAGCTGCATGATTCATGATCATTGTTAATAGAAGCAAAAGGATGTGTGCAGCATTCTGACAAAGGCAGAAGTGATCCCCAGAAGGCCTGACGGCTTTGGGTCTGGTAGGTCGCTGGGAATTTGCCCTGAAACTGGCCCTGGAAAGAGTGCCTGTCCTTAAGAACAGAAGACCAGCCATTGAAAGACGGGCAACGTCATCACTGATCCTGGAGCATGGCACTCCTGCTCACCGCCCATCCTGGCCCCTCTCCTGGCCTCCCCTACCATGTACTCTACTGCTGTTCTCCCCTCCTTCTCAGTTTGTGGCAGTCACGTCTTTTGGTTTCCACCTCCTGTGCGCAGGCTCTTTCCCCTTTGCTGGGACGGCTTTAAGAATGTATTCATGACCACACCAACGAATTCCAAAGCTGTGTTTCCAGGGCAGATGCCTTGCCCCACGGCCGTGGCTCACAGTGCCTGATGAACGGTTTAATCACAGACTAAAACAGGAGCAACAGTTTCTTGAGCATCAGCTATGTGCTTGCCCCACGCTAAAGGCAGTAGAGAATATAAAAAAGCCTAGGCTATGGGTCCTGTCCTTCAAAAGCTTTCAGTGTAGGAAACCTAAATGTCCATTAACAACAAGTTAAGTAGATACAGTGCTCAGTGAAATATTCTACAGCATAAAAAGTATGAGGCAGATCACAGGAAGACGTTCACGCCACATTACTGTTGATAGAGAAAAGCCAAGCTTCAGCACAATGTATTTGGCATCATTCCATTTTGTAAAACAAACTATAGACATGTAAATATATTTTGAATATTCATATAAAAAAAGTCTGGAAAACTAGACTAACCCATTAACAGTGGTTCCTGCAGGAGTGGAGCGCAGGGAAATGAACTTTTTGTACTTCCACATTGTTTGAATCTTTACTGTGAGCATATGTTACTATTATAATTTTCTTTAAATAAATTTTTTCAAGTGGCTTTAAGATTTCAATTTAGTTATGAAAACAAAAAAATCATATAATGGAAAACAGGTAATTCTAATGTAAGGATAGAAAACACATTATAAGGCACTGTAAAATTTGCTGCATTGTAAAATACAAGTTTTTAAGATCTCTTTCTGTGACCCGTGTTTTGTAAAACATACCTCTTTCACAAGTCCAAGTAATTCTGATTCATGAGCCAGAACATCACCCATATTGAACGGTTACTGTTAATTCTCACAGCAAAAATCTCTACAAGGCAAAAATAGAAGATAAAAGCTTTCATTTCAACCATCTGTGAAATCATAAAAAGGTGGCTGTGGTGGGCAGAATAAGGCCCCCATCCTAACCCCCAGAACCTGTGAATATGCTAGGTTGCATGGCAAGAGGGAATTAAAGTTACACACGGAATCAAGGTTGCTAATCGGCTGACCTTAAAATAGGGAGAGTATATATGATTATATGGTGGGCCCAGTGTAATCACAGGGATCCTTATAAGGAGGCAAGAGGGACAATGTCAGAGTGATGCATCACTTGCCCTGAAGGTAGAGGAAGGGCCCCAAGCCAAGGAATGAGTGCAGGCAGCCTCTAGATGTTCAAAAAGGCAAGGAACAGATTCTCCTCTGGAGCCTTCAGGAATGAACAAGCCCTGTGAACACCTTGATTTTAGCTCAGTGAGACCCATTTTGGACTTCTGACCTCCAGAACTGTAAATCTGTGTTGTTTTCGGTCACCAATTTTATGGTAATTTATCATACGGAAATACAGAGGCTAATGTTCAAAGTAATTCCTTCTTCTATGACAACTACTAAAATGAATATGAACACGGCCTAGAAGGTGGTGTAAATGAGCAGCGAGGACTGCTTGTGAGACTGGGGAAGATTCTTCTTCTTATTTGGTACTCTAATGTGCCATAATGTGGTATGTGTAATTCAAACAGTCAAGACCACAAAGTGCATTTCAGAACAAAACAGAATTTGACAAGGTTCATTCATTTAAAGAAGGATATGCATTAATATTAATCTGATATAAATGAACACCAATTCCTCACTCTGCCTCCAAATAAAAACTAATCATTCACACAAAGATCTGGGATACTACTTATCTGCAAGAAATCTTTAATGTTTCCTGAAGACCATTATCATTTAGCCTTACAGTAATGGGGGAGGAAGTGGAGTGCATTTACACAAATGTTAGCACAAGGTCATGCACCAGGGAATGTATTAGGTCAGTCTTTGTTTTGTTTAGTTTAGAGAGAGAGAGCAAGCAGTGGGGGAGGGCTAGAGGGAGAGAATCTTAAGCAGGCTCCATGCCCAGCATGGAGCCCAACATGGGGCTCGATCTCATGACCTTGAGCTGAAATCAAGAGTCGGACGCTTAACCAACTGAGCCACCCAAGCACCCCATGGTTAGGTTTTTAATTACATTTAAGGATGCACAATATCTATGTACATTTCCAAACATTTAAATAAGTAAAATATTGCAAACCTTTTAAAAACGTATTTTCTACTTTTTCTGTCCCCAGGTGCGCCCAAAGCAGCCACTCCCTGTGCCCCACTCCCAGGCTCTTCAGCCAGATGGACTGCCCATAACCCCAGGGGAATGAAAAAAGTCTGGGCACTAATACTGACTGTGCCATTCACTGGCACCTGATCTGGGGCAAATCACTGAAACTCGGGGCCTCTTTCATCTACAAAGGAGAGTGGAGAATTGGTCAGATCTCTTCTAGTTCTAGGAACACATGATTCTGTAACATTACATTTTGATCTGCCCATTACAGTGCATTTGATTTCAATTATTTGAGCACAAGTCAGGAAGATTAAATGTAGTAATGTCCCCCTTTTCATTCTCTTGTCTGTCTCACCATCATCTTGTGGCTTCATCTCTCCCGAGGTTCGGTGACACAATCTCCCATCCCCTTTCTCTCTCCACTTCAATTTCTATCCTATTAACAAGTGATCTTGCCCTTCCTGCTTAGGACCCTCCTGTGGTTCCACCATCCTCCAGACGAAGGCCACACTGCTTAGGCCCAACTCTCAAAGGCTACACAACGTGGCCTCCCACACTCTCTCCTTTGTTCTGTTAACTTGACCCGCAATGGCCACTGTGGGGCCACACCACCAGAAGCCCATGTCACATGCCTGCCCTCTCTTGAGGACTTTGCACTTACTGCAGACACCCTCCAGACGTCCCCGTCTCCTTCAGGTCGCTTAAGTGCCACCCCTTCAGAGAGACTTGCCCTGACTACCCTTTGGATGGGGTCAGCCCCATCACTGCTTAGTCTTTTGTCCTGTTTTATTTTTCTCAAAAGCACTAACCACTATCTGACTTGCACATCCCCCCGGTAAACAGGAGAACACCTGTCCCCTGGCAGCCCCAGTGCCTAGGCCAGGGCCTGGCATGCTGGAGTTGCTCAAAAAGGAATGGTAGTAATTTCAGGTATGAGGAAAATAAAGCAAGGAAGGGGACAGAGCTTGGAGCAGAGGGGTCTAGGGTTATTTTAGATAGTGGGGGCAGAGAAGGCCTCCCTGGGAACATGTGGGCAGAGATGTGAGGACGTGGGTATACCTCTGGATCTGGGGGGGAGGGATTTGCAGGTGCAGGGGCTGCAGAGTGCGGAGAGTGGTGAGAGAAGCCAAGCCAAGCAGACACTGGAGGCCGTGAGGTGTGGGGCCACGTCAAACAGGCCTCGTGTAAGCTAGCGGCCTGCATGTACTGGGAAGCCCGGACAGGGGGCTGTCAGGGGACTGCCACCACCCGATTTACAGTTCCTAACAGCGGGGTCTGCTGTGTGGGGGAGAAACTGAGGGGACAGAGCGGTAAGGAGGCCATGGCAAAGCCCGAGCTGCTGACGAGGGAAGTCTGGATGGGGAACAGGAAGCTTGTGAAGGGTTCGGCTTCCACATGTGAAAAGGAGAGGTGGCATGACCCACTGACGGACTGGAGGTGGGATGTAAGGGGAGAAGTGAAGGGCGACGCTGGGGCCTAGGCAGATGCCATTTGCTGAGGTGGGGGAATCTGGGGGGGCTGTCTGAGAGGCCAGCTCAAGAGTGCCATTCCAGCCATAAGTGTCACAGGCCCACGAGGCATCCGAGCGAGTGGGGTGCTGAGAAGGTCCGGTGCATGTGAGTCGGGAGTAAAGGGAAAGGCGATTTTCTCTTTCAACATTCCTTTGGCTATCTGGGGTCTTTTCTGGTTCCATACAAATTTTAGGATTATTTGTTCCAGCTCTGTGAAAAAAGTTGATGGCATTTTGATAGGGATTGCACTGAATGTAGAGCTTGCTCTAGGTAGCATTGACATCTTCACAATATTTGTTCTTCCAATCCATGAGCATGGAACGTTTTTCTATTTCTTTGTGTCTTCCTCAATTTCTTTCATGAGTGTTCTATAGTTTTCCAAGTACAGATCCTTTGCCCCTTTGGTTAGGTTTATTCATAGGTATCTTACAGTTTTTGGTGCAATTGTAAATGGAATCAACTCCTTAATTTCTATTTCTTCTGTCTCATTGTTAGTGTATAGAAATGCAACTGATTTCTGTGCGTTAATTTTTATATCCTGCCACTTTGCTGAATTCCTGTATGAGTTCTAGCAATTTTGGGGTGCAGTCTTTTGGGTTTTCCACATAAGAGTATCATGTCATCTGAGAAGAGTGAGAGTTTGACTACTTCTTTGCTGATTCGAATGCCTTTTCTTTCTTTTTGTTGTCTGATTGCTGAGGCTAGGACTTCTAGTACTATGTTGAACAACAGTGGTGATAGTGGACATCCCTGCCGTGTTCCTGATCTTAGGAGGAAAGCTCCCAGTTTTTCCCCATTGAGAATGATATCCGTTAATGTTAAAAAAGAAAATCCAAGCTAGTGGCATCACAATTCCAGACTTCAAGCTCTATTACAAAGCTGTCATCATCAAGACAGTATGGTATTGGCACAAAAACAGACACATAGATCAATGGAACAGAATAGAGAGCCCAGAAGTGGACCCTCAACTCTATGGTCAACTAATCTTTGACAAAGCAGGAAAGAATGGCCAATGGAAAAAAGACAGTCTCTTCAACAAATGGTTTTGGGAAAACTGGACAGCCACATGCAGAAGAATGAAACTGGATCATTTTCTTACACCATACACAAAAGTAGACTCAAAATGGATGAAAGACCTAAACGTGAGACAGGAATCCATCAAAATCCTAGAGGAGAACATAGGCAGCAACCTCTGTGACCTTGACTGCAGCAACTTCTTGCCAGACACTTTTCCAAAGGCAAGGGAAACAAAGACAAAAATGAACTATTGGGTTCAACAGGATAAAAAGCTTTTGCACAGCAAAGCAAACAGTCGACAAAACCAAAAGACAACTGACAGATGGGAGAAGATATTTGCAAATGTCTTATGAGATAAAGGGCTAGTATCCAAAATCTATAAAGAACTTATCAAACTCAACACCCAAAGAAAAAATAATCCAATGAAGAAACGGTCAGAAGACATGGAACAGACATTTCTCCAAAGAAAACATACAAAAGGCCAACAGACATGTGAAAAAATGCTCAACATCACCTGGCATCAGGGAAATCCAAATCAAAACCTCAATGAGATACCACCTCACACCAGTCACAATGACTAAAATGAACAAGTCAGGAAACGATAGATGTTGGCGAAGATGAGGAGAAAGGGGAACCCTCCTCCACTCTTGGTGGGAATGCAAGCTGGTGCAGCCACTCTGGAAAACAGTATGGAGGTTCCTCAAAAAG